GGGGGGGGGGGGGGGGGGTGGTGAAAGTATAATAACCAATCATCCGACTAACAATAAACTATATTTATAATACATTTTTTTTTGTATTTTCAAAACGCTATTTCGGCCGTTCGAAAAATGCACACATTAATTGATGGGCAATCGCGACATGATGGACAATTAGGAAGTACAAGATTTTACTTAAATAATAAATGTGCGGTTTGACAAGCGATAACTTTATATTTATAATGTCGATTGGTACACCTAAATTCAGCATTTTAACAGGTAATCGAGGTTAATTCGTTCGCGTTATACTTAAAAATATAATGTACAGTTTCAGAGACGAACGCAGGATCCGAATTGGGCGAGACGAAAACCATCGCGAAACTCCGCAATCAATGCACCAACGGTGTAGTAAATTGTTACCTATTGAAAATATATGATTTCGCAACTCTCCGAGATTCGGCCGTATTATTAATAATCGCAGAAAGTAAACGCGTTGGAAAATATTGGTTTGGTGTTTTTATTTATTTTTTTTTTTTTCAAATTTAAAATTCTCGCACGCGCACACAGGTAGCGATCTCACGGAAATTATTGCGTTGCGAACAACGAATCGGGAGTGGGGGGGAGAGAAGGGGATTCGAACGTCACGGCCGGATGTTTTTCTCGTACATAAAATATATTTTGCGATGGCGGCGTGTACAGCGTATAAAGACGCCGCGGGTATACGGCGTCGAATTGATTTTTAAGGGACGCGAGAGAAAAAAATAAAACAAAAGAGACATAGGAAATGAGAAAAAAAAAGGGGGCCTTTCAGGGCGCATGACTTTGCCGTTGTGGTGCTACATATATGTGTGCGTGCATGCGTGCGTGCGTGCGTGTGCGTGTGTGTGTCTGTGGCGTGTGTATAGGAGAGGAGAGAGAAGCTATGATTGCCGGTATTGATTGGACCGGGGGGCGCGCAGCAGTGTGAAAGAAGGCCAAGCGAGCGGGTAAAAAATCGTTTTCGCCGCAAGGGTCGAGTTTTTCATTTTTGTTTTCACCGCGGCGACGGCGTCGGCGGCGGGGTTCGGCGCGCGGGCGGAGGAAAAATGGCCGACAGTTCCCTGGACAAAACAAAAAGCCATAAAATAAATGCCTCTCTTCTCTTCGAGCACGGGGCCCCTTTCTAATGAATATAAGAGAGGGACGGGAAGAAAGGGGACGATGATCGGGATGGAAACCTCCGCCGCCGCCGCCGCCACACACAGTGTATACTTTTTTTCCTTTGCTTTTTTTTTTTTTCTCATCCACCGCCGCCACTCACTTCATTGCTATATATATACATCCAACTACTCCTCTTTTTCTTCCTCGGAATTGTGTACGCGCACGCGCGCGTGTGCGTGTGTGTGTGTGTGTGTGGTTTCGAAGAAAATGGTTTTTATTTTGGGGTGAACGAGAAAGAGGGGTACGGGGGAGAGGGAGAGGGAGAGAGAGAGAGAGAGAGAAGAGTGTCAGAAAGAGAGACGAGGGTGTAAGAGCGCGGAGAGACGGAAAAAAATATAAGAAAAGTGAGAGCTTTCTCGCCGAAAATTGAACATTATTTTTACGACTTATTTTTCGGTCGGAAAATTGCAATCTCCACGAACGAAAATTATGTACGGCACTTTTATGCATTATTCGAATCCTCTTTAATTTAAAAACTTCCCGTTTGTTTTGAACGGGCCGAAATCGTATTTCCCGTATCGTTTCAAATAAGTAATGGTACTCTATTGTACTAAGTACTTACCATTATTTTTTTTTTTTATATAGTGACGGCCGTGTGGGGGGGGTTTATATCGCGTCGTCAGACGAGTCGATGATATATTATTGCATATCGTGTTATACTTGAATTTTCCGTTGGCGGTTCTTTATGAAATTGAAACGCCTATCGATGACGTTTTTTTTTTTTCCACTGAGAAAAATACCGACCGGGTTCGATTCGTTTATTCCATGCCCCTGTCCCCCCTCCCCCATGCCCTTATGTGAAACGAAACGATACGGAAACACGGCGCGTCGTACCGACCGTGCACAGTCGGAGCATTCGTCGCGTATTTTATTTAGAAAGTATACGTAAAAACGACGGCCGGTTCCCCATTACTCGCGTGATAGGAGGGGAGGTGGGGTGGGGGTATTGTGTATTGTTGTATTTTATAACGATGCATAATAGCGGTCGGCCGCCGTTAATTTATTAATTTATATTTAATTGTGTTAATTATTATTAGCGAACGCGTGCGTGTATACCGGAGTTTACAATATTATCGCGTTACATAAATAATACCCGCGCCGTTACAGGAACGCCGTGTACCGCTATCATTACGGATTGTACGTACTATTTGACACATTAGTCAGCGAATTGTTAATCTTTCGAAATGGAAAACGATGTGTACCACATAACGCGCCGGTAAGTCGGGTATCGATCGGCCATCTGTTAGTAAAGCGAGACGAGAGAAAAAAAAAAAAAACCCGGCTACGGGCTATAATAATAATAATAATAATAATAATAACAACAATAATAATATTCGTCCGTCGATAAACGAATAATAATAATAATAAAAATTAAACGTTCACGAACCGTGTACACGCTGCGTAATAACACGGTCCACATTACACGGCCGCCCCGGTAAGAAAATTTGAGAACACATATGGAACACCAGTTAGAGGACACGGACGACGGCAGTGGCGGACAATGTATCCAGGTTTTGAGGGGGGATGGGGGGGGAGGGGAGGGGCGATTTTCAAATCCGCCGAGGTTACAGGGGTTTATTCCCTCCAGTGATCGTTTCATCTCCCGCCCGGGGAGGGGTATCGTAAATTCCCAAAAGTTTCCTATATTTCCGTATAAATTCTCAAGTAGTAAATTGTCAATGTACGGCGCGGTCACAATTATTCCGATTCGCCAATCGCCTCCCTCTCCCCCCGGATCTATCCGCCACTGTCGGACGATACGCATTTGTTGTTTCCGTCTTACGAACACGAGGGTCTAGTAAAAAAGCGTGCCTAATATGGGTTTTATAGGGTTTAAAAAAAAAAAAAAAACGCCCATTATGAAATTGACGGAGGGCAAGACGACGCCGTGTTTTTTTTTTTTTTTTTTATCTAACCAAACAAATGTCGGAAAAGTAACTGCGATTCACGGAACGGCGAATTGACGCGTTATATATTGGGAGAAAATGGAAGAAAACGCAACGTCTTGCACTCCGGAACATTGTTCAATTCCGGTTTCATAACAAGTGTTTTTACACCGAAATCGAGCCGAGTTCCGAGTTGTCCGCGTGACCGTGCTTCAAACTGCAGCGCGCGTTTGTACGACGGAAACGGCAAAACGCAGCACTTATAGCGTGGCGTGTCCTCCGATCCTCGTAGAGTTTGGAACGCGATGTTTTTGTTTCGAGATTGTCGGCCGACTTCACGTTCGGGTCATCAGTGGCGAGATTTCCGTATCGGGCGCGATGTTAAAACGGGGGTGGGGGGGGCGCGATTCGGTCTGTTTTATAATAAAGAAAAATGAGAGAAAACGTTTACGAACTTTTCGGCGCGCAGACGGCTAAATTAAGACGAGTATCACACGCAGTGCGTACAGTTTTTTCTCTCTCTCGTTTTTTGAGGGCCGGACGAGCCGCCCCGACAGGCGGCGGATCCGGAAATTGTTCAAAGTGGGAGGGAGAGGGGGGGGCGGCACTTTATGTATATTTTCAGCAAATCGACTATGAATCGTTTACATAAAAACTACTCTAGTCCGTTGACGGCGGGGGGGGGGGAGGGCACGTGCCCCTGCGCCGTCCTCCCCACCCCCTCCCCGGATCCGCCGCTGGTCCCGACGACCAGCACTCGTCGTCCACGGACACGGTCGCGGATCGCGCACGAACTCTCGTGACGCGCCGCGCTTCGCCTCCCGCCCGCTCATTATTAAGCGGCCGGCCGTCGCCCCTTGATACACGCCACGCCGCAAAGGGTGTACGCATAGTGGCGTACACGGCGCGTCAGGCACGACACCGGTAATAACTGTTGTGTGCGATTATTTATAGAGTGTATACCGGATTTTAATCGACGTTCGCGTTATCGTTTTAAAAAGGCAAGCGCGGCGGTACGCGGTTAAAAATAATTTCCAATTACTCCGATAGAAAACCGTTATCGTTTTTCAATTATTAAATTAAAGGGTATTTTTTTTTTTTTTTTTTTATATAGGCACAATTCGACGAACAATCCGTTATCGAACATTCGGCCCGCGCCTATCGTCTTTATCGAGTTACGTGTATACCGTCGAAAATAAACGCGCACGCAGTTAATACGTGTATTCTACCGGCGACTTATCGTACACAACGAACGAACGTGGTGTACGCGGAACCCCCAGGTTTTTACCACCGCGGTTTATCTCTAAACGTTAATCGCGATTAATCGTCCGGAGCTTTTCGATTAAATATTGTTGACGTTGTTGTCGGTTCTTTACTGCGTCGTTTCCAGAGGCCCGCCGAAGGGGAAATTTCGTATAAAAATTTCTAATCTTTGCGCGATTATCATTCGTCCCGGGGCGTTTAATAATAAACGCAATAATCCTCACTCGTTCGGCGAAAATTCGCCAATGAATAATTGTATCAAAATAATATTCGAGGGGGGGGTGGGCGTAGTGGGGGCGAGTAGGTGTATGGTTGCGACGGTTGAAACGCGATTCAACACGCACCGTCCAACGGGAAAAACAAACCAACGGTTTTTGCCCATAATCGTATTCGGAAATACACTACGCTTACTCGTACGAGAACGGTTAACGCGCACACGCGCGCGCGCGCACGATAGGGGGACGAGTTTCGGCGCGGTCGGTAAACCCTTTCGTCGTCGTATTCAATCATCAAATACTCCATTTATAT